TCAGACACTTTTATCCGAAGTGACTTACAGTGCTCTTATTACAGGGACCCCAATCTCCCAGCAGCCATCTTGAGTAAAGAGCCTTGCTGAAGGACACAGCGGTGGTGACGGCTGCTGAGTTCGAACCAGTAACCTTCTGCTGACCAGTGCAGTGCTTTAGCCCAAAAGCAATGAAGCTATGACAAAAATGTGCATGTAATTGTAAACATATGAAATGAAATGCTGACAACATTAATTGTAAAATGTTTTACTCTGTTTAAATGTTTTACAGATAGTCGTGCTCATGGAGAGCAGCACACAAATGTTTGGAGCAGACAGGGACAGTCAGATTGTCCCGCACATGTTCTCCTGCTTTTATTCAGGGTTGTGTGGATCAGGAGCATCATCATGGTCTTCCTCATCCTCTCTGTGCACTCAGACAATAGCCTCGATGCCCCTTTCTCATCCATGATCAGATTCAGTCTGACTGCAGCAGTGAGGGTCGTGATGGACAGCAGAGACAGGTGAAGGTGGTCAGCTGCTTCATCAGAATAAAGCTGCAGAACTGTCTCAGCTGTGTTGAGATGCAGTAGATGTGGGCTCACCATCTGTAAATACATGATTGTTAGAACAATGTTTGAATAAAGCTTTGTATCATGTGTCGATGACTTGTATTTATTTATTGTCATGGTTACTTTTATTTATTTTTACTCATTTATTCATGTTTCCTGTTTTCAGTAAATAAAATATAATTGTTTCATTAACATTAATTCATTACTTGACTGAAAATGTAGATGTATTCACGTTGGCTGCATTTGTCTAGTGTGTAGTCATGCATAGCTATGGCATATGACAAAACAAATGACATTTTGATAATTATTGGTCAGCATTTATCATTATTATTGTTCATAAGTGTTGGGGTGGGCTAGCAATGCATTCTGGGGTAATCTTAACTTCTAAGTAGTAATACTTACATTTTTCGAGTGTAAAATTAATAGTCTTCTCCAAAGGCGAGATCTTCTAGCAGCTGATCGATGTCTCATTTGTGCAGATATTACAAATGCCGAGGAAAACTGTACTAGGTAGGGTTGTGGAGTTACTGATGCTATGAGGTGTTAGTGCACCTGTCGATCTTATGTTCTTTTTTTATTAATACTGCAGAACTTATAATTACATGCAAGCTCAGGGAAAGATGGTAGTATCTTTAACAATGAACAATCATAATGACAAAAAGCAGAAAACATAAAATATAATGGGTTTGCATGCATACATTATATGCACAGAAAAAAAGGCACAATGACACGGTTAAATATCTTTGAATAATCATATTATTCATATAATCAATGCATCAAAAGATAGCATTTTTTGTTGTTGTTTATAAGCCGCATGGATGAAACGAGAGAAATTCAACAAGAAAAAGAGGAAAACAGGAGATTTAAGCCAGTTTTGCTTATGGATGAACAATTTTGCACATAAAATAAAGTAAAAACATATTCAAGAGATAACGATTTTGGGTTTTAGTAATAAATAATAATATATTTAAGGATTAAACTGTGGGTCATATTAGTAGAGTTAAAAATATAAAAATTTAAATCAACCCAAAATGTATTGGTTATACTACAATCACAATAAAAGGGCAGCGGTTTCTTCAACAAGACCACAAAATGAGGAAATTTCATAAACATCAAAATATTTACAGAGAGCTCAATTAAACCTGTCGCTCGTATCTGTTGCGCTTGTTATAACGTCGTAGATCACATGATAACGTCAACATGGCGGATGATGCCTGGCTCGCATTCATACTTAACGAGATTTGGCTGTAGAGTACCTACTCTTTTAGGCGCTCGTTAAGTAAGTTTGAGTAGGCGGTTTCGGACGCAGCCGCTGTCTTTATGAGTGGACCACTGAATCATTGACTCAGATGATTCAAAATTCAAAAACGCGAATCATTCAGAAACACCGCTGTGTTTTGCTCAGTCATGCGCGACTGTTCTGCTGTGCTCTTTGTTTGGAACTATTTTCATTAACCAAATCGAGCAAAAACGATTGCCAACGTTGACAATATATCCTTTCAATAAATTATAATTCAAATATTGAACTACAATGTACAGTATACATCAGTATATCTCTTGGTCGTGTCATGTTGCTTAACTAGGCTATATGTTATGAATATAAAAGCTAAGTTACATTTTTATGTTTCTATGTGCAGTTGTGTTCGTTTGTTTTGATTTCTCCACGAGATTCTCTCACAGACAGGCTGCGTGACTGTTGCAACCTTGTTGTTACTGTTGATTATACATGATCAATTGCCCTTTACATCGAATGTAATAAAATCAGAATTATTCTCATCTAAATTTCGATGCTTCCCTAATTAGATGTTTTAATCAGATTAGTTGTCTGGTCGGGCAGTAAAATTCTCCTCTTCCACTTGCCCCTTCAAAAAATACACTTGTCCCGGACAAGCATTAATGTCGAGCTCTGTTACTGTAGGCCTATATAAAATTCAACCCGCCAGAGTGGCTAGTGGGAGTGACTGTTTTAAGCTGGGGTCACACTACAGGATTTTTAGCCCGATTTAGCCCAGATTTTCCCCTCCCGAGAATTGGAGCAAAAATCTTGCACTTCGTTTGGTCCTGATGTTCGGCCGACTAATCTATACTGTCACTTTTGATACATTCCTTGCTGAATAAACGTATTAATTTCTAAAAAAAATAAAAACAAATGTAACTACTTATACCAAACTTATGGTAGTGTATCTGGATGTTGTTGTCCATACATACACCTATGACTGCTAATGAGATCATGATGAGGAAATATGAGAACCTAAAAATAAACTTTAAAGGTCCCCTGAAATGCTTAGAAACACGCAGCGTTACTCTGTGTTGACGTCATTTGAACTGAAACAGGAAGACAGGGCGGGACATATTAAGCAGCCCTGCCCCTTTTTAAAATAGCCAATAGCGTTCGTTTATATCACAGCTTGGGCTAGAGCCATTCAGAGCCGTTGAGCTCCGTAAAGCCGCATTTGACAGGGTATGCCAGCCACAATCTCATCCATATTGCTATAAAATATAGCATTCTTTGTAGAATTCAAATAGCTCCGATACATTTTTACATTTTGTGGTCTGCGGCGACTTGCGCATCCGTGCTATCGTGTCTCTGGACCGGAGCAGAGTGTGTGTGCGGTGTGGTGGTTAGAGTGACACAGCTCGAAACCAGACTTCTTTTTTTCCTCAATGGAAAGCATATTTACACTGTTTGAATCGTTCCCTGTCCCCTATATAGTGCACTACGTGCCATTCACTGTACAGAAAATACTAATTCTGTGGACAAGTGACCGATTACAGCCGCGGCTTCAGCGTCTATTTTATTGAGTGGGGGTCGGGCGCTTCGGATTCTAGAGAGCATTTGATTGGACAGAAAGTTTGATGAGAAGCTGAAGTACGATGTGACGTCAAAAAAAATCATTGAGCCGTTTTGGCGGAAGTGACGAACTGCAAGCTTTGAATGCTTATATCTTCTAAATGCGAATTTTGTCACTGTTTTGGAGCACACTGCCTTATAGATAACCTTAAGACTAACATATTGATACTAACACCCAAAAAACTTACATTTTGATTTCATGGGGACTTTAACAAATAAATAAGTAAAAATAATCATGCTTTGCTCTTGGAATTTCAAACCAGACTGTTATAACCAAAATACTACAGTATATTTGAGACTCACATTATGGAGTTGAAGGATTTCCAGCTGTTTAGATGAAACAACCTTCAACTTCTTAGGAGGAAACATCAGTGCCGACTGTCTAGTTTATGTAGGTAATGCGTTCTGAACACTTTCAATGTAAGAGGCAGATGAGAGCTGAGTAGAACAACCTCATTATCCTGTCATTTAAAGCCCAAGGACATGGCCAAATCCGCTTAGCTAATGCAACAAGACGCAGCGGTGGGACCCAGCAAACAGGTGCACATGAAATATCTGATAAAAGCAACACATTAGTATCTGTAGCCTGCGGTGTGCTCTATTGACAATGAGGAAAGCAAGACAGCTACGCTTCAGGGTGTCTGTGTGATTCAGTCAGCGGGTCAGAGCTGTTAACACATCGGAGTTTATAAATGCAGATTTGGTGACTGCGATCATGTTTTATGATAAAGACAGTGTTGCTATATATAATAAGCAGTTATTTTACTGTGTAAACATAACTCAAAGGACATATGGACCTTAGTCACACTGCAAAAAATGAAAAATAACCGAAGATTTACTTGATTGTTGTGGAATTTTTTTAAACTTACAGTTCCAAAGTTTTGTGCTTCAGTCCCATTTGCCTCCTTCTTCCCAGCATGATGCAATAAGTTCTGTAAGGAATAATTAATTATGGGCCATTGAATTATTAGTGATGAATGTACACTCATGGTGGTGATGCAGCCACGATGCGAAATGACGTAATAATAATGCGGTTTCATTATTTGACTGTTTTGTAGGTCTGTGTGGTATATTAAAGTATTTAATGAGTGTTTTTTTGTCTTATCAGTGTGTATGTAGTATTTTCAATAGTTTAACAACCCATGGAACACACATCCTCATTTTATTTGTATCAAATTTTCATCAATCATAAAACTATTTTAAGTGGTAACCCATTGACAGCATGCTGCTATTCAAATAAAAGGAACATTTCTTGCTAATATAATCCTTTCTAGAATTTGGCAGTCTAATGTAACAGACCAAAGTAATGATCGATACGTCGATGAATATTTACAGTATAATAGTTACTATATTATTTAGCACTGATTGAGTTTATTTTTGTAAAAACTTTAAGCCAGTAAATGAAAGGTTCTCCAATGTTCAGCTTTAATCTGTAAAGAAAGCAGTAAACCCAACTGCACTACCATTAAGAGTCTGCCAGCTCTGAACAGACTATTTAGCATTGTCCTCAGTGTTGATGAATACTTCATTTAAAATTCTGGGGCCTTTTTTTCATTTTGCTTCCACAAGCAAATGTCATGTTGTTTACATTGATAATTGGCATGAATAAGTGGAACTGCTTCTTTTAACTGCATGGTGAGATAAGGCAAAATTAGTTTTTACTTTTTTAATTAAATGTATTGTTAGTTATATTTTCATTATTTATTTATTTGTTTTATTATCATAACTGGTTGTATCTGTAACACTAACAATGACTACGTTTACATGGACATCAGTAATCTGATTATTTTCCTTATTCCGAATAAGACAATATCATGATTAAGGTGTTTACATGAGTTGGTTTTAGAATATTCCTTTCATGTTCCTGTTTTACATGTTATAGTACATAGATCGATTAATGGCACACGTCATTACGTCACCACGCGACGCCATCCGAAATCCCCTCCAGAATTTCACATATAAACATATAATTCGTCTTCGTTATGGTGCAATATACAGTTCTGGGCGTTTCATTTTTAATTTTATGAAAGCTTCAAGTGCACTTAATTATTTGTCACGCTATATGTGCAAACAGATGATGGCGTTGTTGAAGCCATGCTCTTTTGTTTGCCGTCAAACGGTTGACCACTGCCGTGTGTGTGTCCTATCACAAAATGCGCCGAAAACTCCAACATGACGGTAATAATGTGATTAAGTTGTGTACATGTCTATGCTGCACTTCAATAATGAGACTAAAATAGGAATACTCCACGTCTTATTTCGATTTGTGTTTACTTCGACTATGACTTTAGCTGGATTAAGGTAATCAAAAATCTCTGTTTACATGGTAGATTCTTAATCAGAGTATTGTATTAATCGTGTTAAAATCGGAATATTGTTGTCCATGTAAACATACTCAATGACCACTTCCCAATATAGGTCTGTTTTCTTCATAAATCTAGAGGAAGCTGTCCAGGCAATTTGTTAAAGGGGTCCTATTATGCTTTTTCACTTTTTCAACTTTAGTTAGTCTGTAATGTTACAAAGCTGAAAGTTACAAAGCTCAAAGTCCACTTCAAAAGGAGATATTTTATTT